CTGTGGTGGGGCAGGATCCAAACCTCCTGCCAGTCAGGGCATTTCCCAGCACTGTGTTTCTGTGGCTCCAGGAGAGAGCCAGAACATGAATTTGTCTTTCAGGAACCTGCTCCTGCCTAAGAGAGTCCCTGCAGAAAGACCCTGGGCCAGGGTCTGCGTCAAGCTGTATCGTGCTGAGGGCCTGCCCAGCATGAGCGCAGGCATCATGGGTGGTTTCTCCAAGATCATAGGGGAGAAAAAAGTCTTTATTGACCCATACGTGCAGGTCTCGTTCTGCGGGCAGCAGGTGAGTCTGCCAGGGGATCTGCGTGGGGCCAGGCTGATCCTCCCTTGGCTGTGTGGCAGCATGCGCTGGGCTGATGCTGCCAGGAGCCTCCATGGGACACAGCAATCCCACCGGAGACAGGCTGGGAGAGCCCAAGTCTTGCTGTCTTTGGCAATGGCCTGAGCCATGTGGCCATGGATGCACGGTGTCTGGATGAGAAGGCTTTTATGGGACTTTTGTCTCTGCAGAGCGCTGCACGGGGGACAGCCCCAGCTCTGAGCACAGCCACTGGCTGAGCTACTGGCTGTGCAGGCAGAGATTTCACATCCCTAAATGTAGGGAGAGGGTCAAATAAATCCTGGAGCGGAAGTCCTCTGTGGCAAGCTGGACTCAGCCTGACACTCTCGGGAGAGTTTACTGAGCTAATAGCCCTTTTCTTGCACCCAAGGCTACGGTTTCTCATCCTGTGATATCCATTAAGATGAGAATCAGTCCCTGGGCAGCCTGGTTGGCCTGGGGGTGCTCCCAGGGGACCCTGCGACAACTCTGGATCTGGTGGTGCTGCCCGCTTGCTTCCAGTGTTTCCCTTGGCTGTGCAGGACACGGCCAGGGCCTTGGGACAGCCCCCCTTGATGAAGCACAGAGAGCAATTGCTGGGATGGGGGCAGGAGCAGGGACACTGCCACCTCCAGAGCCTGCCCAGCACTGTCTGTAGGCGGGACAGGAGAACATACCATTCCCAGAGAGGCTTTGAGGCATCCCTTGCTCTGGCTGCTGGCTGGGACTGCGTGGCTTTCACACTTTCTCCTTTCCAGGGGGAAACATCGGTGGAGACGAACACCACTGACCCTGAGTGGAACGAGCAGATCAGCTTCATCGAGATGTTCCCACCTCTGGCCAGGAAGATAAAAGTCCAGGTGTTGGATGATGCCAATGTTGGTGATGTGGCCATCGCTACACACTACATTGATCTGCAGCAGATCTCGGACTCTGGCAGGAATGGTGAGGCCTGGCATGGCTGCCCCCAGGGCAGGGCATCCTGAGCAGCCCCATGCCATGTACCCTCTGCTCAGCCATGGTGGTCTCCTGGAGGTGGGAAGCGGGAGTGGCTGAAGCATGCTTACATCCCTGTGTCATGGCTGGCTGTCTTCTTGGGGGAAGGTCTCTGCAGCAGCACCCTGTGGTGTAATTAAACCCTGTCCCTGTCGCTGCAGGCTTTAACCCCACATTTGGCCCAGCCTGGGTGAACCTGTATGGCTCCCCCCAGAACTCGGCTCTGCGGGACATCCACAAGGACCTCAACGAGGGCATGGGTGAGGGGATCTTCTACCGTGGGCGCATCCTTATGGCCATCACGGTGGAGATCTTCAGCAGCCCCAGCGTGGCAGAGAGGAAGCTTGGGGACAAGACGAAAGGTGCCCTAAGCAAACTGAAGTTGAAGAAGAAAAGTAAGAAATCCAAGGAGAAAGCCAAAGAACTGAGCCAGCTGCAGGGAGAGGAGGCTGGGGGCTCTCAGGAGACCGAGCAGCCCGGGGAGGTCACTGTGGAGGTGGAAGAGCTTCATCCACTCCCCGAGGTGAGTCCTGCCGTGCTGGCATGGCTGACGCATGCCAGCCTGCGGCATGCACAGGCCTCATGGGAAAGAGGCAGTGGGATCACTTGCTGGTGTAACAGTGCTGGAGCAAACCCAGCCTGCCCATTGCTGGGCCATCCAGGGCTCTCTGAGCCTCTGCAAGGGCTGAGGCCACACCTGCAACCCCAAAACTGCCTCCCACAGTAAGGCTGGAGCATCCCCACATGCGCTGCCTTCCTGGCGCAGGGTGGACTCTCACATGGGTGATATTCCCAGGGCGCAGCTGCCTTTGAGCATGTACTTTTTCTCCCCTGGAGCCAGGGAGCTGTTAGCTGGCTCTGGGTCTCCACTTGGCCTGAGAAAGGCAGGCAAGATGCAGCTGTGTTGGTACAGTAGCCATCCCTTAGCCTACAAACCTGCTCAGTGGCTTCACACAAGCATCAGCCAAAGCCACGGCTCTGCACCAACCCTCCGGGATTTCCAAGAAAACTTGTCCCATGTCTGGCAGCCCAGAAGTGGTGACCTCAGCAGCATCCCACTGATGTCCTTTGGGAGGGCTGACAGGCACCAGCCGTGCCCTGGTGCTCTCTGAATTTCTGTTGAGGCGGAGTTTTGGCACACGAGGCTCTCGGGCTGATTTCTGTCTCCTTGCTCAGAATGCATTGGGGAGGAAGGAGGAATTCCTCCTCTTCGCTGCCTTCTTTGAAGCCACTATGATGGACTCCTCTCTCAGCTCCAAGCCCGTCAGCTTTGAAGTCTCTATAGGTGGGTATTCCCCAGGGTCCTGTGTCCAGAAACTATGGGAACAGCGCAAATCTCCCTCTGACAGCCGAAGTCAGCATTGCAGTCCTAAGGTGCCAGCCCTTGCACAGCTCATGTCTCCGAAACAGGAACTCGGGAAGGATAGGGTATGAGGCCAGAGAGTGTGCACAGTGCTTTTATTACCTTAAAAGTCTGGATGCTCTCCTATGGAATTGGAGATTTGCAGTATTTGAACTACCTGTTTGGGGAGAGTAGTTGAAGCTCTCCTGGGAAGTGGGGGTGAGAAGAGGTAGAAGGGTTTGGGAGCAGGAAAGGGCAACAAAGGAGGGGAAGCTGGGATACTGGGGTTGGCCATGTGGTGCTGAGGGGCTGTGACAGTGGTTGATGGGGAAACAATGGTAGGAGAGCAGGTCCAAGTCCCCACCTGCTAAGATGGATGGGTGGAGATGCTTGATGCTGAGAAGTCTTTCTGAGTGACTGCTGCTGACCCCAGTGTAGGGTGTAGATGGCAGTTAGCAGGCACTTGGTGGAGCTGGTGGAACTTGAAGGCATACACAAAGACTTCTTTGTAATTGCCCAGCTCCCTCTCAGACCTCCTGGTTGTCCATGTGATGCTCTGATGGTTGGATGCTACTGAACTGCTAGTTCCAAAAGCAGTGCATGCCCATGTGCTTCTCTTGGCAGGATGATTGCACTCTGATTTTGCAAGCTAGCAAACTTGTTTAACAGTGATCCCACTTACCTGTTTACTCTTTAACACTTGACTTCAAGGAAACTATGGCAAAGCTGAAGAGGTTGTGACCAAAGTATGGAGAAAAAAGGAAAAGGGAGAAGTGAAAGAAGAAAAGCAGCCTTTGCTGGACCCTGGTTCAGATGGTGAGCTGGATGTTGAAGTCCTGGCCCCAGCTTCAGCAGCACTGAACAAGTCGGTGACAAACAGCCAGAGACCAGAGCCCATGGAGTATGACAGGTGAATCTTCTTCATCCTTCTTTCCCACCTGCCCTGGTCCTGCCCCAGCTTCCCAGGTTGGTTATTCCAGATGTTATTAGAGGTCTGCTCAGCAATGCGAGTGCTGTGCAGGTGTTTCTTCTCTTTGCAATCCTGCAGCTTGCCATGGCCTAGCTGGCTGCCATTGCCCATTAAGCCCTACAGGCCCTATGGTGTCTGCTTGATGTGTGCAGGTGGCCAAGGACAGGGTCCCAGGAAAACTGTGACCCATCAATAACAGCCATCCCTTTTCTGGTTAACAAGCAGCATCCTAATGGCTTGATTCCAATGAGGAGGAAAGAGAGGAGTACTCCGGCAAATTCTGTCCTATGTTGGGCAGGCGAGACACATACACAAGCTCTTCTGATGATATGAATGCTGCCTGGTTTGTCCCACAGGCCTGGCAATGACTTGGTGTTTGCGTTGTGAGCCCTGTGCCTGCTACTACTCAGTCCCATAGCAGCAAGAAATCTCGGCCGCAATCCACGCTCCTATCAGCCTCATTCATCTGGGCACATGCTGCTCTTTCTGCTAGAAACACTGTGTGCTAGTTTGGGATGGCAAAGGGCAGATCCAGCAGCTTGCATCCGTGCCTGTGGTGCAGGCCCCAAAACAGCCGGTTCTCTATGAGGAGGACAGAGCCCACATACTGCTCCCTGTGCTGGGTGTGCAAGCACTGCATTGTGACATGGCACATGCTTTCTGCAAACAGCAGCCGTAACCTCCTGTGCCTGCTGCCCTTAGGTCATACAGCTGCCTGCCCATGATGCATGAGAAACCCTGCGTGTACGTGTGGAGCTACTGGGAGGATCACACCTGGAGACTCTGCATTTCCAACTGGATTGTCAAGCTGGCAGAGCGCCTGGTAGTGTGTTCAGGGTGTCTGTGGCACGGTCCTTCCTGGTGTGCTTTCCTTGTAGTACATGCAGCTGCTCTGTGAGACGTTTGCCTTAAACAGCCTCATCCCCCATGCGAGTCTGTGTCTCTTGCAGGGCTCAGTCCCACCTGCCCTTTAGATGTGTGGGGTAGGGCAGTGGGTGCAGAGCCACTGCCCGTGCTGTGCCACAGCCTGGTGGTGTCTCCTGGAGGTGTGAGTGATGTGACATCTGTGACAAAAAGCTGCCAGTCCTGAGCTGCGTGTGCACTGGGGAGATGCTGCTGCAAGCAGACTCTCAGCCTTGGGCTGTCATCAGGAGGGTGCAGTCTCTTCCCAGGGCCTCATCTTTCCGTTTTGGGCTTAGAAATCCAAAAGCAGAGCTTGCCAGTGTGTTTCAGTGGCTGCTCAAGGACTGAGACACAAGGTGTTGTAACAAGCAGTGTTAAGGTTATCCCCAGGCTCCTGAGAGTCCCTGGCAGCGCAGTGCTGACCTGCAGCCCTCTCACGATCCCCAGCTCTGCAGAAGGGCACAAACCATTTGTGGAAAACGCATTCTTGCAATGTTTCACTCTGACCCTGCAGCCAGATGCAAGCTCCCTGAATGCTGTGCTTTCCCCACAGGAGCAGGGGCTGGATGACGTGGAGAAGCTCATGAGAAGGCCAAAGACTAAAGCAGAAGAGCGGCTCAGAGAGGTGCTGGAGGAATTTGTAGCTGGTTGCAGGTTAGCATGTCCCTGATTTCCTAAGGTTTCTTGTTTTCAGGTTAGGAGGTTGTATCATGTTCTGCCTGGGCTGTGTGCGGCCTGCTCTCTCATCCTCTTGAGGTGGATGAGCGGAAAGAAACCAGGACGACCTGGGGAAAGGACCCTGTAGCTCTTCAAGCTTGGAGAGGAGACCCCAGTCCAGGGAAGCACAGGCATCACAGACTGCAGCCTTGATGTTCCTGGACTCCTGGGTGTTTCCTAAATGTTAGGACATTTCCTTCACTCTCTTCAATCATGCAGACAAGAGACTAGTGTTTCAATCACTGTGACTGCCCAGTGGGGTCCGACACTCACTTCAGTCCCCAGCCTTGTGATGGTGACAGTAGAGAGGGAGCCTCAGGTGCTGAGCAATCCCCAGAGTACCTTCCAAATCAAAAAGCTTGCAGAAGAGAGGGCATTGCAGACAGGGGGGTTTCTGATGCATCTGGATTAGTACCAGGGATTTGGAGCTTGTGCCCCTGCTGTGTGAGCTGAACTCTGCCTGCTGGGTGCAGGGGATGCAGAGCCTGTACTGCTTCTCTCATTGCAGGCAATATTTACTCAGCACAGAGAGAAAAACAATGGCACATCCAAACAACCTTGACAGATGTCGGATGAAATACCTGATGCGCAATATCGTAAGCTGTGGGGCTTGGTGGTGGCGGTAGGAGCCTGTGTGATGTCCGCTGTGGGGGATGCTTCTGGAGAACCAGCTAGAATTGATGCTAAGAAGGAAACCTGGGGCTAAGACTCATGGTATCAGTCATAGGCTTTTACTGCAGCAACTCCCACTTCTGCTCAGAGCAATAGAGCTTCCAGCACAGGGAACAGAGGTAGGGACTGGCCATGGCTGCCTCCAGTTTTATGCAGATGCTGTGCCCTGATGCCATCCTTCCTCTCCTGTGGGGCATGTGTAGCTGACCACATGCATGTTGCTGCCCAGTAGGTTGCTGGAGGCCTTTTGGTGCAGGCTATTCCTGCAGGCAGTTTTGGGGGAGCTCACTGAGACCCACTGCCCCTGGAAACTCAACCCATAAGCTGGGTGCCCATGCAGCAGATCTACAACAGCCATCCATCTGCCTGTCCCTGGAGAGGGCACCGTCTAGGCACTCATAATCCTGTAGACAAGGCCAGCTAGCTGAATGAGAGCACAGTTACATACCATCCATCACAGCACAGCAGAGCACGGCTGTAGTCATAGTCCCCATCAGACTACAAAGCTTTGAAAGGCTGACCAAAATGCAATGACAGCAGCAGGAAATAAAATTTAGGCATGTCTGGGTCCCAGCTCCCTTCCCTCTGCCTCCCTGCACATCGTCACCTGAGCTGTGGTTAAGGTACTCTGGTAAGTCTGAGACTCTCTGAAAGAGAGAACCAGCCCAAGAGTTGAGTTTTCTGGCCTTGTCAGTCCATACCGGGTTTGCACCCTGAATTCCTTCTGGATTTCACTATTAGTTTTGGTTCATCACAAAGTCTCTCCTCATATGTGTACGCTATCAACTAATGGACATGAAAGCCCAGCCCTGTCTTCCAGTTTCCTACATCTTCATATTCCCATACTTCCATGGCCCCAAGTTGCTCCTTGTTCAAAGCCTCCCCCAGGCACTGTCTGGAGCCTTAGACCACCAGCTTCTGAAATGTTTATTCCTGATACATCTTTCTGCCCCAAATGATGCTCATGGACTTCTGTTACCGGCTGGTATCGGCAGAGCTGACGAGTTACCGGAGTCTCCAGTTCTTGGCACCCTTCACTAAATGGCTCGCAACAGGTTCATGGAGGTTTGCTCTCAGCAGCTGGGGAGTGAGCCGTGGTGGAGGTCAGCACATGATGGGGCAGGATGGATGTGATCAGCACATGGGTGCTTCACTGCAGAACCCCTGTGAGGGGTGCCAGCATGGCATGCCTGGGTCATGGCTGGGTGCATGACGGCCATGCTCTCTGTTCAGATCCTGTATGCAAAGCAGGGGCTTCGCATGAGGCGTCGGCTGACTCGAGCCAACGTCAAGGAGAAGGTTAAGGAGACAAGGAGGGTCCTGACAAAGCTACGCTTCATGGCTAAAGAGGTACAGCTGCTCCCAGGCCACCCCATTGCTGAGCAGGAGAGGGCACTGGGCTGGCTGCTGGGGCTCTTGCTAGCCTGAGTTGGGGCTTCTCCTCTGCTGTCTTTCCTTGCTATGTAAAAATCCCAAGTTCCAGCTGCTGGAAATTACCATATTTCACGTAATGGCTCTTATGAGGGATGAGGCTTGGCAGCTTTACAGTTGGTGACAGAGCAGGGGTCCAAGCAGCTCAGCAGTGGGTTGGAGGCAGAGCTGGGCTAGCTCCAGGCCACCCGGGCCTCACAGCCCTATCTGCCTGGCCAGCCCGAGGCCGTGCCTGCAATGGGGCTGTGGGCAGTCTGCCTGGGAAAACAGCCTTGCCTGTTCTGCCTGCACTGCCACCAGGGACTGACCCTGGACACTTTCTGCACATTTATGCTTGCATTGAAATAAGGTCTCTCATCCATAACAGAGACTCCATTTTCAAAGTTTCACTGCTCTGTTTTAAGTAACTCCGGAAAATCAGTGCGTTTGTGTAGTGTAAACCAGAATTCAGTGTTTGCTGGAGTTAGGTAGACAGATGTTGTTGCAGTTTGGAGAAGTCTTTCACTAAGTGAAGTCAAATCATTTTCACACTATTTCACACATTTAGCTATGTGAGGCTAGACTTTAGCATGACCAAGATGTCACCCCTTGCACCACCAGGAAGAGAAGCTGTCCTCAGGCTCCAGCCTCACAGGCTGGCTGCAGCTGAGCCCCCAGACAGAGAGAAACCTCCTCCCATTTTGCTCCCTGCGATTGGGTGGGAATGTTGCTGTCTCTGTAGAGCCAGCCCTGCACATACACTTGCCACTTTTAGTCCCTGCTTGGAGGCTGGCGGTCTTGGTTTGGATCAGTAATAAATTGCTTCAGCTACTTATATACTGAAAAATTGCAAGGACAAGTCCCAAGTACAAATGCAAACACTAATGGCAGGGAAACTGAAGTGGGGATGAGAACTCAGGTTAGAGTGTAAAAGAAGTCATTGCTTCCATCTGTGCATTTGCTTTATTGCAAGTCCTGCTCTCAACCCGAACCACAGCTTTACGCCGGGCACTCATGTTGCTGGGATGCCAGCTAATGTGCTTCCTTCCCATGGATCAGCACTCAGGCTCCTGTCAAAGGTGTGGGGTAAAATGCCACTTCTCCAGTCTCGTAGGGGCTCCCTCTTACTGACATGGCATGGGGTTGAGTGCATCCTGCTGGTGTTCGCAATGAAAAACAAGGCGGATCACAGATCCTTCCAAGAAACCTGCAGAACCATATTGCAGGGCTGAGACTTTCAGAAGCATGTGCCCAACGTTAGGCCCTTTATTTGCTTGTGGATCTCTAAAGCGCTGTGCAGCCAGCAGTCCCTCCTGCGAGGAGACAAAGCTTTCACCATGTTAGTGGAGGGAGGACAAGATATGTGCTGTTCCTCTGCTGTGATGTTCCTCTCTTTCCTCCCTCTAGCCCCAGTGCACCCTCCCCGATGTCCTCATCTGGATGCTTAGCAACAACAGGCGTGTGGCATATGCAAGAGTTCCTGCACAAAACATCCTCTACTCGGTAGTTGAAGAGGAGAAGGGCAAGGACTGTGCAAAGATCCAGACTGTCTTTATGAAGGTAGGGTTTATACCAAAACAGTGTGCTCTTGCTTGCTTCACACGGCTTCTCCCTCCTTGCTTTCATCCCTCCTTCCTGAAATCATGGAGTTCACAAGGAAACACAGCTCTTGCTCCACCACTGCCTTTTGCCTTTGCCAATGTGGTGCTCTGTCTCCTGTGCTCTTCGGTTGGTCACTGGCTGATGGCGATTGTCTTGGTCTGAAGGGGGCGTGCTGAGATGGGAAACCTGCTAAACCTCCTGTGCTTTCAGGTCCCTTGCTTACACACTGGGGAGATCTTTGCCAAACTGGAAGTCTACATGTGGCTTGGGGTAACCAAATATGCAAAGAACTGTTTGACAGAGCTGCCTGAGGAGTTCAAGTACCTCTCTGAGAGCGGACAGGAGATAGCCCAGCTCTCGGCATACAGTCCTCCCAGCCGGCTCAGCAGGGATGGTGAGTGCAGATGCCACTTTTCCACGGCTTAACTGTGAGCAGGAGAGCAGAGAGGTGAGAGGTCCTGCCCCAGGGTCAGTGTCCGAGGAGTAGGACCTGATCTATCATCTCCATGTCATCTCCAAGGCATGACTGGGACAGGCAGGTCCAGTTTGCTCTCATGAGGACATATTTTCACACTCACAGCTGGAGTGGCAGGCAGGACGGGTGCTTTGTAGGCACTGAATGTGCTGCCAGACTGGCAATGGGCATGAGGTCTGGCCCTTTGCTGAGGCCTGGTGGTGCTCCACTGCAGCAGATGCTCACAGCAGGTCACTGCACATTTCACATGTCATGTCCTTCCCAGAGGTTTCTGGGGAGCCTGCTGAGCTTGTCTTGCTTGGCCAAATCTTTTGAGATGTCCTGGCCTTCTGAGAACCACAGTGAATGCCCCTAGAAGTGGTACTCATTCCTTGCAGGATGTGCCCACTCCTACCTGGCTGGCCCTCTTCTTCATGCATTTTTTGGCCTCACGCAGGGCTGGATTGGGGAACTGGGACCTCGCTTCTCTTTTTCTTACCAGATTTCAGCTATTTCCAGCTCCGAGCCCATCTGTATCAGGCTCGAGGGATCCTCCCTGCAGATGACAATGGCCTTTCAGATCCATTTGCGAGAGTGGTGTTTTCGACTCATTGCCAGACCACCAGGGTGAGACCACTTAAACTCTTGCCTCTGCCTTCTTGGGGACTTGGGGAGAGAAAAATCATCATGTCCTCACTGACATACTGAAGGCCAGTGCTGTGATAGTCCTCCTGGAAATTTTGTAACTCCAGGTGCAAGGCATTTTTATGCTGTGGGTGGTGTGACTATGTTCAGGGAACATTTGACAAAACATACATATCATTGAGCATGGTCTCAAAGGTTGATTGGCATGTGCTAGTTGGCCCCAAGTGCTGATGTCATGCTTTTACCATCTCCCCTCCTGCCAGGCGCCAGCTGTGTGCATCTGTGTGGGAGAGGGGATCAGCCCACGCTTCCTCACTCTCTTTACAAAGTGCATGTGGTTTGTTTCCACTGGCTGTGGTACACTTAGGTCTCCTCTCTCTGTCTGTAGATGCTGGAGGAGACACTGAGCCCCATGTGGAACGAGTTACTTTTGTTTGACCAGCTCATTATTGATGGGAAAAAAGAAGAGTTGAAAACAGAGACACCCATCGTTATAATCAACCTTTTCAGCCACAATAAATTTGTAAGTATGGTCATGCTGCCCTCCTGCTGTTGTTTGCAGGACAGGGAAGGCAGAGGAGCTCTGTGTGGGTGCTGTGAGCAGGCACTTAGAAGCCACATATCTGTTTGGTTTCCATGACTCAGCTTGATCCTGGTCCACCGGTGGTGGTGAGTCCTGGGGACTGTGGCTGAGGTTGAGCCTTTCTGCAGACTTCTGCTATCAGCTGGGGTGAAGCTGCCGGCTGCAGCGTGCAGATGGCTTGGAGATGCCCTGAGCCAGGGCCTTGATGGGTGCTTGGTGGATCTGGGATCTCTCCTCTCTGGAGAAGCACTGCACCTCTCCCAGCTGCCTGCCCCGCTTCCTCAGCAAGGTCACGTTGCAGGGGGCTCGTAGCCAGGGGAAGCCGATGTAGCTCTTAGGGCTGTTCCTTCCCCTCTGTCCCCCAGGTGTCATCTTCCATCCCTCCTCAGTCCTCCCTTTTGTGTCTTCATTAGTACTTTGAAGTCACACTCCTCTCCTGGGGCCTCATTGTTATCATAAGGGGAATGGTGTAACTCGCACCAGATTCTCCTGTGTAGCTCAGTAGCTTTCCTGGGTCCATTTCCTGGGTCCCAGTACAAGACAGACACTGACATACTGGAGTGAGTCTGGAGGAGGCCACCAAGATAGTTGGGGTTGGAGCACAGGACAGAGTGAGGAGAGGTGGAGAGCTGGGTATATTCAACCTGGAGAAGATGAGGCAAAGGCAGTGTCTTATTGCTGCCTGCAGCTGCCTGATGGGAGAGGGTAGAAAAGGTGGAGTCAGACTCCTCTTGGAGGTACCCAGGGGCAGGATGACAGGCAATGGACACAAATTGGAACAAGAGAAAAATTCAACTTGATATAAGGAAGCAATTTTCACCCAGAGAGAGTTCAAATGCTGGGCCTGGAGTTCAGAGAGTCTGTGGGATCTCCATCCTTGGAGAATTCAAACCCTGGCTGGAGGGGACTCTGAGCAACTTGATCTAGCTTTGATGTCCTCCGGTGCAGGGTCCCAGGCTGTTTGCCCAGTTCTGCATGGAGGTGGACTGGGGGTTAAGAGGAGCTGCTGCAGGCGTGTGTCTCATGCTCCTAGCTCTGGATGGAGCAGAGGAAATCAAAGCAGAGGATGGCAAGGGTGGAAGAGTGGTCTTGTGCTGTCCCAGATAGGCTGGAATTAGTGGTGGTCTTTTCTCTGAAGTGGTAAGATAACAAAGGGATGCTTTGACCCATTCCCCCTGTTTCCTGCAGGGTTCCCCTGAGTTCCTCGGCCAGGCCTTTGCTGTCCCACAGGTGAAGCTGGTCGATGAGCCGTACACCAAACCTGCCCTTCAGTTCTTCGATTTCTACAAAGGCAGCAAAGCAGTGGGAGAGCTCATTGCCACTTTTGAGCTGATGGAGCTGGACTACAGTGGCTATTTGGAGGTAACAGGCTTGTAGGAAGCTGCACATGGTTGCCAGCTCTCTGGGGAGAGCTGTGTGGGTGAGGAGCTGGTTGCATTGGGCCCACCAGAGGATTCCCTGTTGAAAGCCACATCTGGCTTTCAACTGAAGGGAGGCTGCAGGGACAGAGACTGTGAGCACAGATCAAGGGGGAGGGAGAGGGAGAGGGATAGGGGGCATGGCATGGAGTAAAAATGGCTTTCATCGCTTGGTGTGCCCTGGTTCCACCTGTTCAGCCATCAGTGCCTGAGGACGTGGAGCCCAAGGAGCCTGACTACCTGGGAGATCCCCATGCTGGACGGTTCATCATCCCTGAGGGCATCCGCCCAGTGCTGAAGGAGTTTCGCATAGAGGTGCGCTGCCTTCTACTGTGCTGGCTCCCCACCGGGCTGCCCCAAGCGGACAGCACAGCTGGTCTGTGCAGAGGACAGGGCTTGAGGAGGGAGTCGGGTTTGGAGCGCAAGTCTGCCTTTGAGGCCTGAGCAGATGCCAGAAATGGAGGTGTTTGACATGAGGGAGAAACCATCTCAGCAGTTTAACAGACAGAGCTGTTGGGTGGCCGGGTTGGGAGAGTGGCCTCATGCCTCTCTTGGGGTCTTGTGTCCTGTGGGGTGAGGGGGGTGGCAGCACCAGGCAGGATTGCAGGCTGCATGGCTTTGCCATGCCTGGCATGTCTCGAGCAGCCTGGCGGCTTCGTGTTGTGCTTCAGATCCTGTTCTGGGGCCTGCGGGACCTGAAGCGGGTGAACTTGTTCGAGGTGGATCAGCCCCAGGTGATCATTGAATGTGCTGGCAAGAAGGTGGAGTCAGAGGTGATCATGGCCTACAAAGAGAACCCCAACTTCACTGAGCTGGTCAAATACATGGACGTGGTGAGTGGGAAGGGGGGTCCTGTCATGCCAGGGTGCACCGTGGCTGTCCTGCACCTGTGCACTGCCTGTCTGAATGCAGCAAGGTAACAGGAGGGGAGTTGCCCCCGGGGTTTTGCTCTCCTGTGGCCACATGGTTCAGCTGTAGATCAAAACCTTTGTGAAATTGCTCACCAAGAGCAGTCTCAGCCATTGCCTGTCACTGCAAGGCTTTGTTTTTTGGGCAGAGCTGCAAGGTGCTGTCAGACCTCCCCGCGTGTGGTGGGGCTACCACGGGTATCGCCCTTACTCCTGCGAACCCCATGCGTGGTTCTTTTGCAGGACCTCCCAGAGCAGGTCTATCTGCACCCTCCCCTCAGCATCTTCGTGGTGGAAAAGCGGGCGTTTGGACGCACTGTACTGGTGGGTACCCACGTTGTGTCTGACGTGATGAAATTCTCTCCCAGAGAGCTGGAGGAGGACCCAGAAGACGTGCCCAAAGGTGAGCTGCTTGGTGAGGTTCCTGTGGAGGCAGCAGGCAGGTTTTGCCAGTGGCAGAGATCCCTGGCCCTTCCGCTCCCTCCTAGCCAGGCAGGAAAGTCCTCTCCCAAGGCCCATAAGATGCCCAGCAAAAGCACAGCGTGGGGCAGGTTAGGGTTGGAGGCAGGTTGTGATCCTGGTCGGTAGCACTCAGCTCCAGACTGGTGTTCGGGAAACAGCAGCAGCCAAGCGATGGAGTGCTGTGTAAGGGCTGGCATCCCTCTTTGGGGATGGCAAAGGGCAATTTACAGACTGTTTTCTCCAAGGTTAGCTCAACATTTGCCTTCCCACCACAGCAGCGGGGCTGTTAATCTGTGGATGTGGCATCTCCTTGGGGTCTCTTTCCCAGGCACTGTTGCCTTACATTTGTAGAAACTAGAGGAGGGAGAGTGGCTCGTGAAGACGTCTTAGTCCAGCAGGACATTTAGCTGGGGCTAGATACTAGACAGTAACTTATCCCTGTAGAAAGTCTGTGTCTAGAATCAGAGATATTTAGCCTGGGAAGGACTATTGTATTCACCTATTTCAACCCTCTGAATAGCTGGGCTGGAGAGCTGTCCCCAGTGAGACCTCCATCAAGTTTTAGGGAGCTGGTCCACTAGGACCAAGGATTGAAAGGTTTATGCTTCTCTCACATAGTTGGGTCAAGGTTTGTTCATTGGATAATGGATTCACTAACTAGCTCTGTGATAGCAACAGCCAGAGCTCCTGATCTGGAAATGTGTAAATAAATATGGCATGAAGGGGAAGAAGCAAAGGATTGATTGATCTGTGGTCATTTCTGAGTAGGGAAGGTGTATCTCATAAATCTGAATTCCTGGGAGTCAGTAACAAGCATGTTGATGACGGCGGCCAGTCTCAGCACTGTACTTGGATTTCCAATAATATTTTTGCAGGGTCTGCTATCAAAAGCTTTAAAAGCAATCACACTATAGTGGGGTAACAGGGAGGGTTTTCCTGTGGAATAACAACTGGCCAAAAAGTAGGAAGCAGTGGGCAGAAATAAATGCATGGAAACATGAAGCTCTTTCTCTTCATCTCAGCTCAGAAAGTCTCATCCCAGCGTCTTCCCTCTCAGACTGTGGTAAACATTGGCCCTGCAGCTGGTGACCCAGGTCTCAGCACTCACCCCCTGAGTCTTGTGAAGGTCAGTCATGTGTTGTGCCCAGCAAATTTTGAAGTTTGGAAAGCCAAACTGAAGGTTACAAACAAAAAAGAAAGTTCAGAAGTTCAGAGTTAGGTTTCAACCACGTGTTTTTGCTCTGGACCCAAACAGTCATCTCCCCTGCCTGTGCATCGGCACTGCTGCGTGTCTGGGCTCTGGCACAGGGAGGAGAGCTGTGTTTCCTTGTGCCTTGAAAACTGCTGCTTTTGTAACAAAGCACAAACCTAGGGCTACAGGTAGCTTTGCACCTCCTGTGCTCTGCCTGAAAGCTGAGCCTCTGCCAGAGGCTCCCAGGGCACTAGAGTAGAGTGCATGGGTGTCCTGGGTGGTCCATTTCCTCCCTCTGAACTCTTCTCTGTTCTTTTAAGGCTCCTTTGAAGAAAATTCCTATCAATAAGCTTGTAAAGAAAGAGGATGAATATGAAGAGGAAAAACCGGAGCTGGAAGAACTGGATTGGTGGTCCAAGTACTATGAGTCCCTGAAGGAGCTGTATAACCAGGTAATCTTTTGTGACAGCTGCCAGCAGAGGGGAAAAGTGGCTGCACTGGCTTGAGGAAGATGTTTTCAACAGCACTAAGTGTCATAGGAGCCCTCCTGGCATGGATCTGCAGGAAGATGTGGGCTTTTGTGTGTCAAGCAGACTTAAGGTAGCCAGGTATCCAGCAACCAGGTGGACTGATTTCAGCAGGCAATGGGTGTTGAAACATCCCTGAAGCTAGGTGCCCAAGTGGTTTTGAGAACAGAGCTGGGCTTTTGTTGAGGCACTCCTGAAAATGTGACATTGCTGATTTTAGCTGCAATGCAAGGGCTTTCATGCTGCTTACTCTCTGTCCTGGCTGTCTTCCCAGGATGTGCTATGGGAGCAGGTCTGCCCCAAATTTCCTTCCTTGCCCTGTGTCCCTTAAATCCCAATCAAAAAAGCCAGCAGGAAGATTTGGGGAGAAGAAAAGGTCATTAAGGCACTCATTGGATACCCTCCTGCAATGATGTTAATGCTAAATGATCTCAGGCTAGGTATTACTGACTCTGCTGGCAGGAAAGCTTTGACAGTGTCCTATGCTTGGATGGAGAAGCCTTTGCTGTCAGGGATGTGGGGTGACTGTTTGTGTGTGTTTCAGACACGCAGTGATGAGGAAGATGCTGAGAATGATGACCTGAATGATACAGGTGAGTCCTCTAGCAATACCCAGCTCTTCTGTGGGGAGAGCCAGGACTTACACCATCCCAGAGGGTGCTGGGCTTGTGGGAATGGGATCTGAGGAGGCAATGGCTTTGCAACATTCAGCAAAAACAACACAAAAGGGAGCAGAGAGACTGGAAATATTGGCAAGGCCTAACAAAGGCTATTTCAAGTTGAAAGCACCAAACTTTCTTCAGAAAAGTTTGGAAAATTGTGTTGAAGGAAGAGCCTTCCTGAGTGAGTAAAAAACTGCAGAAAAATCAGCTGCAAGGATCATGGGATTGTCAGGGTGAGAGCAGGAAGCAAAGGTGGGATGGGGAGAGAGGATGGTGGAGAGGCAAAACTGTCCAGGAGCTGGGCGTCACTCTGTGCACGTGGGATACTCACCCTGGGGTACAGGATTCACTATGAGGTAACAGAAAGACAGTAATAATAAACAGGTGATCTGAGAATAGTGTTACAGCTGTAGGCTCAGGTTTGCGGAGGTGTAAGCAGTGACTTGCCTAGCAATGACGTGGGGACGTGAGACAGTAAGTATAGAAATGATCTAAATCCTATTTAAGGAGAGGGCTGGAGGGTACCTGCATGGCATTAGTGCTCAAGGGATCTGGGATCTTTGGGAAATGGGGCAAGGACGCACCCATTTCCCAAAGATCCTTGGGTTTCCCAACTCTGTCCTTGGGTTGTTGGTGCCCCAGAGAAAGGTCTAGCTATGCTCTCTCCATGCATAGCTGCCTGTGCCCAAAGTGGTAGTGATGCTTCAGTTAGACATCCACGGAAAATAGCAGTCCATCAAATAAGCATCCATCCAAAGAAGAGGGTTAACTCTCATTTGTGCCTTCCCTGACAGCACCTGTGGGCTAGTCCAGCCACCTTCCTCCATTTGGTCTCTGCCCACTTCCTTCCTAAACAGTAGCCCTGCAGGCAGGCAAGCCTGTGCCAATTTTTGCCAGCCTACCCATCCAGCCGTGCCTTGCTGGGAAACCTGAGATGCCGTAAGGACACCTGTTACAGACGGCAATAGCTCCAGTTACCCTGACACAGGTCAAAGCCCTGGGTGAAAGTGAAAGCTGTTGCTGGGGTCATTTCATGGACAGACATGTGAAGTGATGGGAGAGATCAGAGCATTTCCTAATCTCCTATTGCTATTTCTAGATGGAGGGAATTTAAATGCATCCTCCATTGACATGGAAGCAGAAGATGAGGCAGTAATTGAAGCTGAACCTGCTCGACCCAAGAGGAAGCTCATCGCCACCCTTCAGGTGATTATTGGGGTGACAGATCTGGCCTCTTTCAACCCCAGCCCTTTGTCCGTGTCCTCCTCACCTCCCTGCAGTGGAGGTTAGACTGGGAGGAGAACCTGCAGTGTCCACTGGGCCCCCATCGTTGCTGGGCTTTGAAACAGCTAGTGAGGTCTTGGAGCCAAGCTGGGATGTGTGCGCACATCTGAGGATGGACCTGGGGGGACAAGGGAAAACCATAACACCCCGCACTGACTAATACAGGGGTAAGGTAGGACCAGGTGAAATGGTTGAAGTAGGGAAATGATGGTCTTTCTGACTCTCCTCCCCTTTAAGATGGCAGTAAAAGGCCCCAAAAGCCTTTCTACTTATTTCAGATCTACAACTCTGAGCTGGAAAATGAGTTTGATAATTTTGAAGACTGGCTGTGTATTTTCCCCCTTCATCGTGGCAAAGCAAATGAGGATGAAGATGGAAAGGAGGATGAACATTTTGTGGGGAAGTACAAGGTACTGTATCATTTGAATGACATTTGTGCTGCATGTGGAAGAAAATCCTTAGGGCAACCTGTATTTCGGAGCATGCCAACACCAGCAAAGCCTTGGAGAGTGCACGTATGTGCAAGGTGATGTGAGGCCATGGAGTGGCATGGCCAGGGTACTGTTGGTGCATGTTGAAGCAATTGTGTACTGTGGTCCTTTGTGAGTTGATGAATGCACCTGATTTAGATTTTTTAGCTCTTGTAAGGAGAAAGCATGAAGCATAAAGACTCTTATTCTGGTTGGGGCCTCTGGGTATGTTCAGTATGCAAATAAGAATTAGTGAGCTTCACTGGTTTTAAAATTAGTAAAGCCTGTTTAAAAGAGGCATCATCCTCCCACCCAGGAGCTCTTGAAGACTCTGAAATATCAACTACAGAAGTTGATTTAAGAAGGTCCCTAGAAAACCTTTGGTGTCCCCTGCCTTTGGCAGTCCAAAGTGCCTGGAGATGTTCAAATCTTCTGGCATTGGCAGTGGTCTGACAGCCGGCAGCCTAACTTGCAAGCAGGGACTGCCTGGGCCATGTGGACATGACAGTGCCTTTGGAAAGGACTGTCCCCATGGGCACAGGGTGTCTGCGGTCTGCATGGGGCAATGGCTCTGATTTTCCAGTTGGCAGGTGAAGCTGGTCTTGGTGGCTCCAATCCCATCTGAGATACTATCTTTTGTATCTAGTTGTAACTTGCAATGTCTTTTCTGCAGGGCTCCTTCTATGTCTACCCCACTGAGGAAGCTGGCACAGAGCCCAGGGTCTCCGAGGGCATTCCAAGGAACAGACCCATCAAGGTTCTTGTAAGAGTTTACATCGTTAAGGTAAGTCTCTGGTGGCGGTGGCAGTAATGCTTGGAGGTCTGTTGCTCCCTATGGATCTCCTGCCATTCTCTGCTCAGTAAATATGAGCAGGGGCACTTGTGAAAAACTTGATGCTGGCTTGAAGGCTTTGCCAGCCCAGTGGAAGTCAGCTACATCTTGTCCATGTGGAGCCTTCCATGCTTTGTAGCTTCAGGAGGTGCTAAAAATCCAGATTGGCATTTCTTTGCTCCTCTCGTTTGCCTTGAGACAGTGAGCAAGTACGCGGGCTGGCAGCTGGAGACATCGGTGGTTTGTTGAGTGGGGATTTGAGTGGGAACAAGTGCCTGTTTCACTGCTGGGCCAGCTGCTGGAGGGACCTGACCAGTGGGCTTGGGTGGTCTCAGGCCTGTGCAGTGTTCGTTGTGCAGGTTGCTCTCTGCAGCTGATGTATGGCAGTACCTCTTGTGTATTCCAGGCTACGAACCTGTCTCCAGCAGACCCCAATGGCAAGGCAGACCCCTACGTGGTGGTGACTGTGGGGCAGGAGCAGAAGGACACAAAGGAGCGATACATCCCAAAGCAGCTCAATCCTGTGTTTGGAGAGTATGCAGGAAGTTTTCATCTAGCAGGTTTAATAGGAATAGTGCAAATCTGGGGCTCAGGCTGTGGTCCAGCATGTGTGGTCTTCTGTTCCTTTCTGCTGGAGAATCTTATGCTGTAACACAAAGGTCCCAGGCATGTCTCTTGCCTCCAGCTGAGACAGGAGCCATAAGTGTTTTGGGTCAGGAGGCAAACATTCCCAAGGGCTTGATTTAACAGACAAAATAGCAAGCCAAGCAGCAACAGAGCATTGGAGAGCTTTTTCCCTAGCTCCAAGACCTCTATCCAAGGGCATACATTCCTGGAAAAGTAACTCCTTTGTTTGAACACGCACGCTGAAAACTGCATGCACTGAAAACTGCACGCACTGAACTTATGGAGAACCAAACTGTCTCAGAGGTCTTTGAGTTGTCAAATACAGTTCTTAAATGTGTAGGATGATTAAAGCAGAGCATGTGTTTCATTTCCATCCTCTTGCTAATTGCACTCTCCCTGTCTGCTTCTGTCCAGAGTTGTGGAGCTGACAGTCTCCTTTCCCATGGAATCAGAACTCACTGTGGCAATATTCGACCATGATTTGGTTGGGTCTGATGATCTGATTGGGGAGACCAAGATTGACTTGGAGAATAGATTCTACAGCAAGCACAGGGCCAACTGTGGAGTGGCGTCTCAGTATGACATGTAGGTACTGGTGTGACACATTAGGGCCATGAGATGCATTCTTCTCGCCTACTGTATGGGTGGGTAACAGAGCACTTCCAGTTTTGCAGGATGGAGCTTGCATCCACAGTATCCTTTGAGCAGGTGCCCCACAGATTCACTACAAGTTACATGGATAACTCCATCTCCTTTAGACTCCTACCAGCTTCCTGTGATAGCTCTAATTCCTACTATGGGCTAATATATTTTGCATATAATAGCAAAAAATTCTTTAATGCTTTCATATTGGTGTTCTGTGAGAAAAGTGTTCACTTGACATTGATGTGATTTTGACCTCTTTCAGAAAGTAGGGCAGTTTCTCTGGCGGTAGCTAATTCTGTAAGCAAGACTCATGACATCTGTTTTCCTTTGGCCTCATTCAGTATGGATTCTCTGGTGTCTTTGGCCAGTTTTCTGTAAACTTCTCTTCTCCTACCCTGCTATTGGAGAATTACCTGTGGACATGGAGTTGAGTCCCCAGCACTGCTAAAACCTCTCTCCCATTTACAAGCTGCACCTGGAATTGCTCCTGTTGCTGCTCTGAAGCTAATGGTTCTGTGGGGTCCAAGCCTGGCTTGTTCTTGGGGAGGAGAGCTTGTTAAGCTTTTCATTCATTAAGCTTTCGTGTGCCTGTGGTTTTCCCAGTGAAAATCTGAGCAGGGATCTGGTGGCATAGCCTGTGCTTTAGGGAAGGTAGGGTGTTTCATGGCCTAAGAAAAAAACCTGTTGTGTCTAAGCTGAAGATGTTCTCGATGTTTTCCCTTCCATGCAGAAATGGCTACAACATGTGGCGAGACGCTTTCAAGCCCACACAGATCTTGGATAGTTTATGCAAGAAAAACTCGCTCCCTGCAGCAGAGTACAGACGGGAGGAGGTCAAAATGGACAATAAGATATTCAAGGTCCCTCCAGAGGCTTTTCCTGAAGGTACAGAGGGCTTGGAGAACAATGACTGCTCCCTTAAACAGCTGCCTGTGCTCAGCAGTGCACATGCTGGTGAGAGGTCTGGGAACCCACCAGCCACTCTTCCCTGAAGTGTCCAGGCTGGCTGCCCCTACTCTGTGCCCTGCATGGCCCAGCTTTCTGGGTCACCACGGGGAGCATCCTCAGTGCTCAGTGCCCTGGTTTCAGTGGATGACAATGTTGCACTGGGGGAAGATGTGATCCAGGCCATTAGGTCCCAAAGTGGCTTCCCAGGCAGTGGGTGGAGCAAAGTAAACCCGCTTGCACGGTGGTGATGTGCATGGGGGTTTGATGACTTGTGCAGCCAGAGAAGGCGTAGCTTATTCTGGTGGCTAACACTGGCACAAATCTGTACCTCCGTCTGCTTGTGACTACCATCAGCAAGATACCGGCGTCCTTTTTTTTTGGTTTTTTTTTGGGGGAGGGCTTTTTCAGTCTCCTTTCCTGTTCTTAGCTGGCTTTGTCCTTCAGGATGCTCTCTGCTTCTGGTGGCTTTGGGTGCCTTGGGTGACTCCCCACTGCTCCTCACTACTGTTGATTTCCTCCTTGTGGGCAGCTTCTGCTTCTCCTTTGCTGTTTTTCTTTCCTCCTCACTGGTGTTACAAACCCTGAGCCAGGGCCACAGATGTCCAAAAACACAGCAACCTTTCATGTCCTTCGCCAGCAGTGATGGAGAACTTCCCTGAGCACAAGCCTGTCCTTGCTGTGCACGTTCCCTCCAGTAGCCAAAACCTGTGCAATCGAATCCAGCCTGGTGGGAAGGATGGAGCAGATGTGGCCCACTTGTGGATGGCTGGGTCCTGCAAGGCAATGCTACGTAGCCTGTAGGAAGGATGATCCCTGTGCCCGACCTGCCCAGAGAGGGGGGACCTACATGTACGGCCAGATTTACCTTCTGTTTGTTTCAGTGCTGCTGTTCCTCAGCTTTCCGCTGGCCTCTATAGCTTATGTCATGAAGGGGAAAGAAATCCTACTCAGGAGAGGGCAAGGAGTCTCCAAAAGCCCTTTTCCCCTTTTCTCAGGTCACTGAGTAGCTGGGAAGGGAGAAATGAGATGCTCTCCTGGTGTTCCCCTGAGAGCTGGCTCTGGTTCACATGTGGCTGCAGTTGGTGCCCCGTGAACCTCTGCTGTGCTCGGGGACTGCTTGGGATGGTTTTGTCTCAGACTGATCCCAAAGGGAAAATGCTTTCCATAAACCCGGGGTGGGTCATTGTGTCCTCACCTGTTGGTTCCTGCTTTCCTTCCCACCAGCAGGATTTGGTCTTGAACTGCCATTTGGCTTCACTGTGCCAAATGAGTCAATTAATCACGCAGACTGTTAATTAGCGGAGAGCACAGCTGCATGTCACTGCCAAGTGGCAAGTGGTGCTTTGCTGGAGCACTTCTAGGGCAAAACCTTTCATCCATGGATCTGTTGGCACTACCACAGAGACATGGGGACTTAAAGTGCCCCAGAGGGTCACATCCTCCTCGGTGTCCCCTGGATCCTTTTCCCAGGGCCATAGTAAATTCTTTTTTGCCCTTTTCCTCTTACTTCTCTTAGCTTGTTTGTCTTCCTGCCTACAGTTTTCCTCATCACTACAACATATTGGACTCATTCCCTTCATCCTCACCCTCCTGCTTCTCCCCATTTTATTTTTCTGGGGACGTGCTTGTTTGCCCAGGCCATCATCTTCCCTTACTTGTGCCTGTGACTAACATCCTGACGTGGCTCTTGCTGACCAGATGCCTTCATCTTCTACCTGGCTGTGTCCTGCTGCAGAGGCCTCTGTGAGGAACAAGAGAAGAGTGGCAGATGAGAACTGGTCAGTGGATGATGAACATAAGGCTTTGTACGTCCTGCAGCACTGGGAAGAAATGCCAGGATATGGGTACAAGCTGGTACCAGAGCATGTGGAGATCCGGTCCCTGTACAACCCCGAGAACCCTGGGCTTGTGCAGGTGAGATGTGTTTCCTTGCCCAGCCTAGACATTGCTCTGGGGAAGGACCTTCAGGGCAGCTGGTTCCCAGTCCCCTGGCTGGTCCCCTGTTGTCCCTTTGTCTCCTCATCATGGCATGAATCACATGTGTTGCCCCTTCCTGGGTTGGTGACTGGAGCTATGTCTGTGGATGGCTAGCCCTTCTGTGAAGTGAGGACTGTTGGCCTTGGGTATCCTTTGCTCAGATCCACCCTCTGACCTCTCATGGTGCTTCTGAACACCCTTTCCTCAAGGGACCTCTGTCCATTGATGTTGTGGTCACAATGCTGGTGGCCCAGAGTCCTTCCTGTCTCCTCAGGCCATGTAGCACTGCTCTGATGAGGATGCTGTGTGGGTGGAAAGGGACATGCTCTGCCTTTTGAGCCCTGCCACCATGCACCACAGTGGGTGGTAGTGTCCTTGCCTATCCCTGCCTCTTCTTCTGCTTTGTCCCCTATCACTGCTGCTTTGCTCCCCTGCAAAAGCCCCGTTCTGCCCCCTTGGCTTCTCCCTGGGGGCACGATGTGACTGCTGGCTGGAGGACAAACGTTCCTCCTCAGTTTTATGCAGTGCAGTGATCTGAGCTCAACCATTTCAACGTCCTGTGCTGAACATGTCCTGTTCCCTCGGGTACTGGAGGTCTGTAACAAACCAGAAGTCTGCAGTCATTCTGGCTTTGGTCGGCATTGGAAACGCATGTGGGGAGGGGAGGGTCAGACCGATCACTTTTTAGTTTTCTTGGTTATGCTGAAGCGTTGCATCATTGTATGCTTCTTGTTAAGACAGAGGGACACATTTGCCTCTGTTTGAAATGAACTCAGTTCAGCTGAAATGGTTTTTCTTGGGAGCAGGGTGGGGAGGGAAATAAGCAATTTTTGGTAGTTTTAATTTTTTCCCTATCTAAAATTCAGTCACATGTCACTATGAAGTGCTGGGGATGGAGAGAGCCAAGCAGTGGCTTTCTGGTGATAGCTCTCCTTGCAGGACCAAGCCCTTGCTCCTTGAAGAGCTGGAGGGTGATCTGTCTTTTGAAGTTCCTCTGCTGTCTTCTCTTGTCAGGGCTCCTTGCACATGTGGATTGACATGTTTCCAAATGACGTCCCTGCACCGCCGCCGGTCAATATCAAGCCACGACTGCCTGTCAGGTAGCACCCACGGGAGCAGGGCTGGGGCTGGTGAGCCTGCGTGGAGGGTCACTGTCCCTTGCCATGCCTGGTGGGAATTGCCATGGAGTCCTGCACAGGCTGATGGTCTGTGCTAGCCTGGCATGCAGCCCTCCTCTCTGCTTCAGCTCTGGGCATGGGATGGTGTCTTGGGTGTATCAGCATGGGGCATAAGCGCTTCAGCTGCACAAGTGTTTGTGAAGGGCAGGGTTAATCTCTCTAAGGCTGGACATGCAGGTGATAGAAACCCAGGTCAGAGCTACTCATCTAGCTCTATTTTGGCTAGTGGAGAGACGTCCTCTGGGTGCCTGGAGAACTGAAGTCGAAGGAGGAGATCTGCTGTTTTCAATGATCTAATGGGGCTGTTGATATGGAGGGTCCATATTCTTCTCAGAGGTGCATATGAAAGGACAAGAGGTAATGGACACAAACTGCAGCAAGGTAGGGAAAACATTTTCCCAATGAGAGTGAAGCTACCCTGGGACAGGGATGGAGTGATCCAGAAGAGGTGCTGGGATATCCATCCTTGGAGATATTAAAAACTCATGCAGACAAGGCCCTGAGCAATCTGATCTACTATGAAGTTAGAGCAAGAGGTTGGAGCAGAGACTGCAGAGGTCCCTTCCTGTTGAAGCTTTTCTGTGCTTCTATGGCTAAGCGGTGCTGGGTGGGTTTCCCACGCACCAGGAATTTGCTTTGCAAAAGCTGCCTGTTTTGACTGTGGGTGTTTGTCTTGTGGGGTTTTAGCCCCCCAGGAAGGGCTTTGTGCATGGCAGTGAGGCTGCTGGCTGTGCTTGGCCAGAGGAGCCCTGGCAGGGGACCACAGTGCTAGGAGGGTTCAAGTCCTGCTGCTCTGCCAGTGTGGGCTTGACCTGCCCTCCAAGGCACCGGGGGCAAGAGCATGTGTCCTCGCTCACCCCTATGTCCTTCCCACAGCTATGAACTGCGTGTGATTATCTGGAACACGGATGACGTGATCCTTGATGATGTGAACCCAGTAACAGGAGAGCCTTCCAGTGACATCTACGTGAAAAGGTCTGATGGGAACCAAAGGGAGACCAGAGCCTGGCTGTCCTGCTCCCTGCCCTGCCCCACACCCTCACTGCCTCCTCTGAACCTCGGCTCCTCCCTGTCTCAGCATGAGGTGCCCCACTCCAGTCCCCTGCATGGACTGCTGTACCCTCAAAGGTGTTGGTCAGGTGTTGGTCTGGTTTGGCTCTTTGACTCTTCCTTTCCTGCTACCCCATGGCATTCAGCCCCTCCATCCTTCTGCTCTGCTTTTGGGGCTGGCTGACAGGGGGTAGGAGATAACTGAGTTTCTCCTGCAGCTGGATAAAGGGTCTTGATCACGACAAGCAGGAGACGGATGTTCACTTTAATTCCTTGACCGGGGAGGGCAATTTCAACTGGAGGTTCATCTTCCGTTTCAATTATCTCCCGACCGAGAAGGAGATCACCTACAAGAAGAAGGACTCTGTCTTCTCCGTGGAGGAATCAGAGTTTCGGGAACCAGCTGTTCTGGTCCTCCAGGTCTGGGATTACGACAGGATTTCAGCTAATGACTTTCTAGGTATGGTGTGACCTGCTGGAAGTGGGGTGACCTGTCCCTCACCTTGCTGGAGTATTACAGTGTTTCCCTCAGGGCCCCGCTCTCTGAGAAGGGACACCAGGAGCATCACATCAAGCACTTCAGCTCAGCAGTCACCTGGGCTGTTTTTTTCACATGTGAGCTATAGGCAGAGCCTGGAGATATGCACCTCTCCTGCACAGACACGCTGAGCTTGCATAGTTGTCCCAGGGCATTGGTGTCCTTTTTCAGGGCCTGTCATGCCACAGGACTTCCAGGTTCTGCTTCCTCACAACCTTTCTGATAAACTTGCTCATTTTCCCTGCTCTCACTTAGATCTGCAGATCCCAAAGACTTGGCCAAAGAGCAGCTTTCCCAGGAGCTTATGTTGTGGGCACAGGGATTGGCAACCTTTGTGAGACCATTTACACTTGAGTTGTGGCATCCCATCACTGCAGGCTCGGAGCTCCCTGGCTGCTCTGGTACTTCCCAGTAACCAGACCTGCTGAGCTGGGCATGCAACAGGGCCTGGCGATGAAGCTGGGCTGGTGGTGATTCTGCCCACACTATGCTAGCACAAATGCTGCTGTTTCTCTCCTGCTTCTGCTGCCATCCCCAAGTTTGTAGCACTCCGTTCAGTTGTCCCTCCCTTCTTCAAATTTTGGCCTCCCCATTAAAAAGCAGCCCCTTTGCCCTGCTGTCTCTTGGGCAGGATAAAACTCTATTTATCAAGAGATATGGTGTATTTAAAGGGCTTTACCTCCATGAGGCACTTCCAATGGTGATTGGTTCAGCCATGCTACTCAGGCACTGAAGAAAGTGTTAGACAGCAATCCCAACGATTCCTGGCATGTACAATCTCAGGAACTTCTAGGCAGGAAGGGGCTTCTGCAGTCTTTATTGCAACCTCCTGCTCCAAGCAGGGTTAGATGCAACATAGTTCAGGTTGCTCAGGGCCTTGTCTGGGTGAGTTTTGAGTACCTCCTGGTACCTGGATGGAGATCCCAGCACCCTTCTGGGTCCCTTTTCCTGGCTGCACCATTCTCATAATTTTCAAATTTTTTTACTTGCAGCAGCTTGTGTCTGTTGCCTTGCATACTTTCATCATCCACTTCTGAGAAGAGTTGAGCTTCATCTGCTCTGTAGCTTTCTTTAGGCTGTGAGAGATGCTCTAAGATCTCTCCCTTGACCTCTCTTCTCTGGGCTGAACATGCATAGGTCTCTCAGCCCATCCTGCTATGGCACATACTCTAGCCTTGATCATCTCAGCCACTGGAATCTCTCTAGTTAGTTGACACCTTTCTTGTGTTGGAGGCCCAAAACTGGACAGTGTATCCTCATGCGGTCTCCCCAGAGCTGAGCAGAGAATACCCACATCCCTTGGTTGCTGGCTATGCTTTTGTCAATACAGGCCAGTACGTGATAAGCCTGATTTGCTGCAAGGGCTCAGTGCCAAAGTGGGACAGGAACTCCTTCCAAAGAGGACAGGGGCACAAGGCCAAGCAGGTAAATGAACCGAGGCTGTTTCAGATGTAAGACAGACCTGAAACCTTTAAAGAGTTTCCCAGATTTTATAGTTTTTTTATTGACATTTGCAGGAATGAGAGGGGAGGAGGAGCTTGGACATGTGAGGAGAGCAGGGTGGAACATGGTAAAGTAGTGAAAATAACTCACTGTGCCACATGCAGACCAAACTGGCCACATCAGAGACGAGATAAGACCTGTGGCTTCTGCTTCTTAGTCTCTAACTCTTGGGCTGGTCCTTTCTTATGCTGAGCTTCAGGTTCTCCACCTGTAAATGTGCAGGACTCTGCTAGATCATTGCAGCAGCTGGGACCTACTCGTGGTGGTGCGAGTGTGGCTGAGACAGAAAGCCAAATGGTGTGTGGGGCTGACCTCAAGATTTCACCATGAGCTCTCCTCTTCACTGTGCCTGCAGGCTCCATCGAGCTGAAGCTGCATGACATGGTGCGGGCAGCCAAGAGCTCAGAGCATTGCACCATCAAGATGGCCAAGGAGAATGCAACACCTCGCTTCTCCATCTTCCGAAACAAGCGCATGAGGGGCTGGTGGCCCTTCATCAAACTCAAAGATCAAGAAGATGAGGAGAGAGAGGAGAGGGAGGACAAGCAGAAGAAGAAGAAAAAGAAGTGGAGCAGCTCAGTCAAACCAGAGGATGTGGAGTTCACAGACCCCAGTGGGAACAAATATCTCCTGACGGTAAGGCAGGGTGCTGGCACAGGTGAGCAGAGAGGCAGTGTTTTGCTTCTGCCTTGACATGGCAACCTGTCCTGCATGCACGTAACCTACAGAGGCAGCAATGACCCAGCTTCCCAGGACTTTGTGCAGGGTCCTGGAGACTTGTCCCATCTGCTGCAAATCCAGCAGTGCCAGCTGCGGTGGCATGCAGGGAGTGTCCAACTTCATGTCTTCCTCTGAGCTTCCCATAGAGCAGTGCTCAGTGAGGGGACCAAAGCAAGAGGCACATGGCTCCCCATCAGCCAGACAGGAGAGCAGCAAAAGCTCATCCTAGGGTCTCTGCCTACCCCAGACAGGCAGGTGCCATCTGCCCCAGGGCAGACTCACTGCTGATGGCCCTGCTAGTGGACCATTGTTTGTCCCCAGGGTGAGTTTTGCTCAGTGCCAGTGTGGGAGGCTGCAGACAAATCCAGATAGCTGGGGAGTGCATTACAATACAGTGCCTTGTCTGCAAAACAGTTAGTTTCTGGCCAGGCCACAGATTCCACTGGCTGCGAAGTGAGAGACTCTGTAGCTAATGCCTGGAGAGAAAAGTTAATTGCTCTGAGCATCTGTAAGTGGAACTGGGAGAAAAATACCCAGTCCTGGCAGGGTGTGTGGTCAGCAGGCTGCTCGGCGAAGCAACACGTGCAGCTGTGGCTCAGACATGTTCCCCCTCCAGGGTAAGGTGGAAGCAGAGTTCCAGCTGCTGACTGTGGAGGAGGCTGAGAAAAGTCCTGTCGGTTTGGGCCGAAAAGAGCCTGAACCCCTGGAAAAGCCCAAGTAAGTATCTGTGTTATCATCTTTAACATGGATGGACAGTGCTGTGTTTTCAGCAGCTGTTTGCTTGGGGGACAGGGAGCATCTGCTTTTCAGGAAGCTGAGAGCAATCAGTGAGGCCCTGGGTGGTAGGGTCTGCAGGACTGAGGCTGCCAGGGCTTCCCAGAGCTTGAGTGGGTCCAGCAGGACTTGTGGCTGCAGCATCTGGGCAGGGCTGATCTCAGTGAGGTACTCAAGGGAGCTGTGCCATAACATTGCTTCTACAAAAAGGGCAGCTCTGGTTTAATCATGTGAACGCACCTGTTAGCCACATGGGTGCAGAACAGCTCTGCGGGGGCTGTCCTGAGGCTCAGGTCCTGTTGTCTCCAGCACTTTCACAGGCACTGTAGTTATTGCAGCCCCTAGGGTGATTCTGTCTGGAAGCAGCAGGAAGAGCTGGCGACCTATGAGGGTGGCGGGGCACCAAAGCAGAGGGGCCAATGTGCTGCTCTGTGGATTGAGCCTGTGCTTATCTATTCTTCCCTTCCTGTTCCAGCCGGCCAAAAACTTCTTTCAACTGGTTTGTGAATCCCATGAAGACCTTTGTGTTCTTTATCTGGAAACGGTACAAGAAATACATCGTTGTGCTGTTCGTCGTAGCTGTTCTGACCATCTTCCTGGTTCTTTTGATCTACACCATGCCTGGATACATCAGCGAGAAGATCATCAATGGATAAATGCTCTCCAGCACAGGACTACTCAAAGACAGGGGTGATTATTGCAGGAATCAAGACTGGACCAGAAAGTTTAAGGAAATCCTGCAGGTGCAGAGTCCATCTTCAGAGTGAGAGACCTGCAGAAGTGGCCTCACTTTGGGGAGTCATGTTTCATGCTAAGTACCCATAAGGTGCTAAGAAACCAAGTAACCAACCTACTAAATAAGGCAAACTCGTTGAAGGACAGTTACAGCTTTGGGGAAAAAAATTGTTCTTTGTGTGACTGAGGTGGGAAGGTGGGAAAATGGGGTCCGCTGGGGCTGTCCCCACAGATGTGACAGCTGAAACCAGCTCTTGCCATTGAGAGCAATTTTTGGCAGAGATGGGGACATACAGAGCCATCCATGCCCTGGCTTGACAACACTTGGCACTTCTCAGACCTTTGTCTGAAGAGTTCAAAACACATTGTACGGGGGGAAGGCAGGTCTGGTGTAGGGTCCTGGTGGAGGTAGGACCTGGAAGGCCTTTGAATGGGGCTCCCCTGGGAGAAGGACAACAGAGCTGAGGTAGCCATGAGCTTCCTGCTGTGCCAAGAGCACAGGAACAGCTCTTGGAATTGGAGTCAGCTCTGGACATGGTAGCACTCCCTGGGACATGGACTTTCTGGTTGTCACTCCTTACAAGCTGCTTAACAGCTTTTCCTCCATGTGCTGGGTTGGATTCAAGCTTGCTTCAAACTTCATTTTGGCTCTTCATTTCCACAGGAATAAAAGCTCCTTGGCTGCTCTCTCTGATGCTGCTTGTGTTTTGTAGCTGCTTTCTGGAGCCGGGGGCCAGCCTGCTGCAGGCAGTCCTTGCTGATGCCCCTTCGCCCTTCCTCCCAGATAGCACAGCGCTGGGACATCAGCATGGGGTCATCAGCATGAATCTGTGTTGTGGTGTTGGGCTGATGTAAATTAAATGAGACTTGTTCTCAGCATGGTCTCTGGTGCCCCAGGGTTCCTGTCTTCTGCAGAGACAAGCCCTGACATGATCTGATCTCAAGTGGAGGTGCTTCACCCTGAGTTTTGACAGGACAGATTCCTTCTGAGGGGTCTCATACTGGTGCAGGAGATGATGCTCAAAGGGACCGTTGCATTTCCAAAGAAATTAACTGACAATGGGGTTTTATAGTGAAGATGGCTGCCTGATTGTCTTTTGAATGGGGCTAGGAATAGAGTAAGTTTTGGGGAGAAAACTAGCTGGGCAGAGCCAGGCAGGCAGGAAGGGAGCAGGTGAGGACTCTGGCTGGACCTGAAGCCAGGTGCGAGTGTGGGGCAGATATGTTGCTCCCACAGGGGGGCCGGAGTTCAGCTGCTGGGTGGGGGGCCCCAGAATGGTAAAGGGGGAGCCCTCTCTCCCCCCAGGGGACCCTTGGGCTGCTGGGGGAGCGAAACAGGCTGCAAAAGGCTCAGGTCATGTAGCACCTGTGTGGGGCTAGAGCGGGGCCCTGGGGTGTGACAGTGCTGCTCCCAGTGCTGCGTCACCCCCAGCTTTCCACAGGGCCTGTTGCAGGGGACATTGCCTTTGCAAACAGTGCCTGGTGCACCCCAGCAGTGCCCAGTGTATCCCAGCACACCTGGTGCACCTCAGCGGTGACCGGTCCATGCCAGCAAGCTCAGTGCACCGCAGCATGCCCAGTGCACATCCCCAGGCAACTCCCTGGCTCTTGCAGCCACACTCAGCTGCATTTTCCACCACAGCACCCGGCTGGAGCTCCCTGTGACTCAAAGTGTGTCTGCCTCAGGCTTCCTGAAAATATTTCAGCTGATAATTGCAGGATTTGTAGCCATGCTGCTGTGTGCCTGGGTGTGCGGCTGTGTGTCAGTGTGTGCACACTGCAGGGGATGTGTGTGTCTGTTTGGGGTGTGGGTGTGCAAGGTGAGGGGCTCCCTCCTGCCCTCGCTGCTGGCAGCAGCGTGACCCCAGCCCTCCACCCCAGCCCCCTGCCCAGT